GTTACTTTCAAATTAAGTACATTTTTTCACTTAAAAGTAAGAAAAGAGTAACATAACAAAAAGTTACTTAACATATTATTATTATTTTTTTTTTAGAACTTAGCCAAACAGGGTTTCTACAGTACAGTATAATTTTTCAATGTAATTTACAAGGAACAAACCTTTCCCCTTAGTCCTGTTTCAATTACGTTATAAGATGGTAAAGATCCAGACAAATAAAACAATTTTCCAAGAATTCGAGCAACTGTCGATTTTCCTGTAGATCATCAACATAAAATATCTCAAGTTAGCTTCGGTACTAGAACATATACTGGACAGCGTGCAGCAAAAATATAAAGTACAAAAGGAAACATTCCAATCAGTCAGTATCTAAGAAGATATTCAGATTCCTTTTCACTAAGATTTAATTTTTCATCCTATGTCATACGGCCGTTTCTTCAATTTTCCTGACGATTTTTTGGGAAACCTATTTACGACTGGAAGGTTGACAACCATATCAATTTACCATTTCATGGCAATTGAGTCCGAATGATAGAAGAATTACGTCGAGAAGTTCAGAGATTTGCCTTGTTATGATCTTCAGGTTTCTCTGGTTCGTTGCTCCTCCAGCCAATGCGCAGCGGTGTTATATCTTATCATTAACTTCAACTGGATGTAAGGAATATAGGAGTTCTGTAACTTTTTATTCGAATCTACTACTTTTTAGGTCCATGAAGTCTGATTACCATCCATGGCAGTTGAACGAGTTAATTAAATTAATACTTACAAAACTTACCCTAGGTTATTGCTTGCTCACCCAAATTTAAAAAGTTACTCACTGCTCAATCATATTTGAAAAATGTTACCTGTCCATCACACACATAAATTCCATTTTTACTCAATCATAGGATTTCCATCCGTCCACATGGGCGGATGAAATTGATACGAGTAATAGATGGATAAACTTTTTAAAATATGGGTAAAAATATAGCGTCTTCAAATATTAGGTTACTACTTACCCACCCAAAATTAAAAAAATAAAAAGTTATTGACTACTCACTCATTTTCCAAAAAAATTACCAATCCATCGCCCATACCAATTTCATCCATCCATGTGAACTCCATCAATGCCATGTAGGATTTCCATCTGTCTACATGGACTTTTTGTCCATGTGGATGGATAGAATTTATATGAGTGATGAATAGGTGATCTTTTTCAAATATGGGTGAGTAGTAAAACAGTTTCAATGAAATAATGACCAGAACTACCATCATACTCAAATAATTAAAAGCTGCACTAGAAAATTGGGGATTAATCCTGTTTGGCTCCCATTATTTCAAATTATAATTTTCTCTATCTTATTTTCAACCACACAATCTTCCATGAAATAATATTAAAAATAAATCGAAAACTTTTCATTCTTTTTCAACCACACATTCTTCCAAAAAAAAAAAAAAACCTCTTTCAAAATTTTTTAATTAGAATAATGGGGACCAAACGGGTTATGTATACCTATAACCCTGAACTACTTTTCAAATTTTTATTTTTTTAACAGAAGGTAAAAGTAGTATCAAGCTCTATTTGCAGCCTGGGATTCTAAACTTGTAAATAAACCACGAAAAAAACAATTGATTTTCCCCGTTTACTATACCTTAACGACTATTTCCACTATTCTGGAACTTGCTTATACAGAATTGCAGATTGCTCTTAAAACTTATTCCAGAAAAAATAAAACCCCTAATTTACGCATAACCAGTTATGTTAAAAACCACTAAAACCAATTATCATACGTATTGACGAATTGAGATGACTGTCAATTAGGTTTTTATAGAGTATACCGGTTCCAGCGTTTCCTATGAACACCATATGAAAGGGCTTGGGAGGAACAACTCGAAAACTGTAACTGGCATCATGTTCTGCAGAGATTATTTTATCAACAATTTTCTCCAATTGAACCTTGACTTCTCGAAGCCCCACGATGCTGGTAATTTCACGTTTCACATCATCCAACTGAAAACACAAAAAAAAAATAAATAAATAAAAATAGAAATTAGATCCAGCAGATTAAAACAATATTGAGCAAAAATTGAGAGAAAAAGAAAAGGCGAGCGTACTGTTGGTATATCTTCGTACGTAGAATACGCAAAAATTGGCATTGCTGTGTCTCGGATTCGGCGAAGAGTTTTGTGTAGAAAGAGAAAGGAATTTGTCAATGAGGATATATACCCTTTAGGGTTATTTTGGTGGCTACTGTTTTAACACGCGTTTATGCAGTCCTCAAAACCAAATTTTATTTTACTTTTAAAATAAAAATAAGATTCATTTATTCTAATTTAATCATTAACTTACACTTAAAGTAACCTTATTTTAATTTATACCGTGACTAAAAAAATAGTATTTGATTTACCATATCAAGTTAGTAAACAACTTTTTTAAGATT